ACAATAAAAAAAGTCATAAAATAACAAAATAGAATTTACACAGTTTAAATTTGAACTGATCTTTTGTAGAAAGATGTGTCAGACATGTAGCAATCCTTTGTTGTTTTCATGTTCCCAAAGGGGGTATACAGATTTTGAACTATCCGTCCTCCAGTGTCAGTCAGTCAGTCCGAGATAACATATCGGTTGTTAAACGGCTAGGAGGACAATATGCAACAGTAAATTCTTTTTGACCCTTTTCATTCCGCAATGCTTTTATGTGGCTTATTTTCTTTTATGTGGCTTAAAGAACAATAATGGAAACACTCCGTCCGAAACTTTTAACATTGGCAAAACCTTCCTGCTGCCTTATAATTTTATGGCATTTTCCCCTGACTGACCCTATATATACATAACAGCCATTTTGACAAGAACTTCCTGTTGACTTATAATTATATTACCATGAGCCATGAATGACCTTTGACTTATGTATGAAAGCGCAATCGGGGGCAATGTCATCTAAATACTACAATTAAATAGAGGGAAAAAAACAGAATTCTAAAGGAAAGCTCAACGCTTGAAAATAAAATTTGAAAATTATGTAGGCTCGGTTTGATTGAGCCTGTTCGTGGACAGTACACGAAAGTGCAAGTTACCGTCCACGCTCCGAAGCACCAGCTTAAGCAGAATCAACATTTAAACACGAAAATGGTAAACTTTGAATTAAGAAACATCCGCAGATGTGGTCATATATACGGCAGTTATTATAGACGCTTCAATGTGACACAGTAGTGCCATTGCATGAAAAGCGGCGTATGGTCTCCAAGTAAAAGAATGCGAGAAAACAATGGGCGGACTTAAATAAAATGGAATTTTGAAAGGGGATCTGAGGTTATGAAGCCTGCATATCAGAGACAAGACACCAAAAGACAAATTTAAAAAGCAGGCGACATATCCTAAGGGTGATTATACGGTATTCAAGTTTGGAATACTGGAAACACCAAAGTTGAAAGAAACTAACAATACCAGATAACATTTGTACACAACAATAATGTCGTGCTGAACAATCCTCAAGGATTGAAAATACAACATATAAGATGATCTTTTAGCTTTTATTTTTAATACATACCAGATCAAATTATTAATAAAAACTGTTTGCAAAGCACTTTCAAAACATGGGGAATGTTTGTTAGTAACGGATCTTTGTTTAGTATATACAGTTTTGCATTTATCTTGTTCTTATAGGTGGATTTATAAACAAAGCTGTGTTTACTAAAGACTAATTCTAATTCTGTTTTATTGCAGACATGCTATATATCGTTCCTACCATTTCAAAGAAAAAAAAACAACAAAACAAAAACGAAATACCTAAGGATGCCATAACCTTAGATTTTCAGCTGAGCATTACATTGACTGAACAGGTTTGACAGATTTATTGTCCACACAAGTTTTGGTATACCTGTGGGAAAAATGTGTGCAAGACTTAGTTAGGAGTTACGGTCCATTGTTTACCAACTTACTGAACTATAATTTTCCTTTGATTGAATTATGTAATATTTAATCACCTTACGTGATAGCTCTAGTTAACCGCGTCCGTGGTCGAGGGGTTAGAGTCGATGACTTCTAATCCAGTTACCTCCCTGGCGTGGGTTCGATCCCCGGGAGATGCTTTGGTTGTTTAGCGCGGAGCAAGGTAGTCTTAAATATGAAAAAACAAGATCAACAAGGAAAGGCGGCGTTCAATGAACGCAACCCCCATATGACCCAGCAGCAACTACCAATGGCAAGGAGCCCAGGTGGACCCCAAACAAAAACTGGTGTAACTCTCCAGGAACGATGGTTAGGAAACTACCCGCCTATATGACTGAAATACTGTTTGGAAAAGGCGTAAAATGAATGAAACAAACAAACAAACAAACAGTGATAGCTCTAGTCAGTAATACATTCTCACCATCTAAACAATACGTTTCAGTTTTTATTTGATACCTGTACAAATGTGCCAAATTGACATTAGATATGTTTTTGATGTTCTTAATCTACTGTTACCTTCGAAACATGTATTTCAATAATTGAAAGGAGTTTGACACATTTCCATTCTATGACACTTTGACAAACATCAAAAATATTTGCATGTGCATAATACAAAAGAATAAGAACAACTCGACATGGCCTATTTACTTCCCTTGTCACATACCCCATATACCATTTCCAGATGATACCAAATCAATTTAAATCTAATTCTGTAGTAATCAATTATAAAGCGTTGATAATATGTTTGATAAACTTCGCTTGCTTGTTTTGCAATATTCAGTTGTTGAAAGGAATGTGCAATTAACCCCGACAAAATTACACTGAACTGCACCATTTCAGTAGGAGGTTCATCGGTATACACCAAAACCAGATTCTCCAATTCTTCTTCAAAACAATTTATTTCAAACGAACATTCTGTACAACTAAACATCATCGGGTGATTATTCATTATGTTGGGTTCACAAGTTACAGACTCTTGATAAGTTTGTGAAAATGGTATTTATAATCCAGGATTTCTTAAAATTGTCAAGATGAAAGGCTTAAAACAAAGTCTAAGGCATTCAATATGCAACTGATCGGTATTATCAAATAGGTTTTTATCAATCTAATCTTTAAACAGGTTCCTCCAAGAAAAAGTTAAGTTTCTCGAAAAAAAATCCAAAGCATTTCAATTCTTGATTTGCAGTTGATCTCCCAACAGAATTGTTCCCTGACATGCTATCAGTATGGAACATTCTTAATGCGATCTAAAGTTCTCTGATGTACAGTTTTCAATCCCTGCATCAACCCTTACCATTATTGGTACTTGACCGTGTTTCTTTACATGACGCATGAAATAAAATACAATTAAAGCAGAGTTTCTATTAGAAGGTGCAGCTTTCAACCATAATTTTTTTTCGGGAAAAACCATCAATAGCTGCATGAATTGATATTCCAAACGGTTTTAATTTATCATATTCATCGACATGAATTACCAAGTTAGGGTCTCGATTAAAATATTGTCTACGTCTTAATAGTCCTGCTTTCATGTTGACTACTCCACAAGGGTCTCACTGTATTTTGATATGCTCTGATTCCATATATTAAAATCAGCATTCTCCCAGCTGCTTGGTAACCTAGTCCTGAATTCCCCTCTCGATGTACCTGTACTATTCCATGAGCAATATCCTCTGGGTTACTTTCTGCACGTCTACGCAAGTTCAAACGTTTAAGCATTATTTTTTTATCTTGGTTTATGAAATTACAATATGATGAACAAACAAAAACATTCCAGTCATTACCAAATACGCATATCTAAGTTTGAAAGGTTTTTGACAGAATCGTATAGCCTATGCTCATCTGGTGTCGTCCCATAGAAAGATTTGATATGAACGGCCACAAGACGTACCTGAAAGTAAACAAAGAGCAAATTAAATTATCAGAATTTTTCACAGAAACCAGCATCATTCAATAACATTAATACCAGTACTTTTGCAAAGAATATTACCTTATACTATTACATTAATATAACTAAAATATCATATGACGACTAACGACAATTATGATGACGACGAATACGACTAAACTGACGACTTCTACTGCGACTGTTACTACTTCTCCTACTTCTTAACTACTTCGGCACTTAACTACTTCGGTTACTACCACGACTAAAAATACTGATACTACTGCTACTGCTCTTAATATTGCCATTAATGCCAATACTACTGCAACGTAGACTGACGCTTTTTCAGGGATTTTAGAACAGGAACAATCGACTCTTTTAAACAACTACACGTATATAAATAATAACACACAGAACTATGAACTTTCTTAAATGCAAATTTTAAAACTGTTTTGAACATCGAATGCGTAGTTTTCATGTGACGTACTTTTGAATGTAGGTAACATCCGTATAAAGACATTTGCTCAAAAGTGACAGTTATCAAAGTCGAAGTAAGAGAAATGTTCGAAAAGAATTGGTTATTATTGAAGTAGATGTTAGAAATTTTAGTAATCAGTAATTTCTTTATGTTGTTCCTTCGAAGTACTCCCCTTTACTAGAAATGCATAATTTTAGTCGATGGATCAATTTCCGGAATGCGTCACGTATGTTGATTTGGGCATACTAGTAGGCAGATCCAAGTGTCTGTCTTGTGTGATATAGAGCTATGTCCAGCGAGTACTTTTTTAATTTCGGATGAAAAAAAATGACGCAAGGGGCAAGATATGGTGAATAAAAAGGGTGCAGTAAAACTGCTACCTTTCTTCTGTCACAACGTCTTTCACAATGGCAGACTTATAAGTTGGGGCATTTCAGTTCTAGTGAAACTTGCCGTTTTTCAATGGCAACTAAATTGCAACACCTTCACTAGAGAAGAAAATTGCATACAAAACCTTTGCACTCAACGAGCGTTCTAGCAATAGTAGGCCTGTTGATAGCTTTGGTAGCCATTATTTCATTTCCAATTTTTCGTAATGGTTCAAATTAATGCACCCAAGTTTCATAATTTACTGCATTTGCAAATTTCTTTTTATTATTCTTTGGAAGTATTCTGGTAAACTGTTTGATTATTATTTTAACTCTTTGTCCTCGTGGATTGCAGTTACCAAATTTTGAATTTAGAATTAAAGTATGAACTGTTAAATCTTAGAAATATTTAATAGAGTCCAAAACAATAGTGACATTTTCATTTATTTTCATTATACACATTTGAATGTATGTCTGTCTCTGTGGCCTAGTGGCTTTGGCGTTCACCTACGAAGAGGCAGATCGAAGTTCGTATCCCACCTGGGTGGCTGAGGTAGTCGGTTGCAGTATGCCTCCCTCACATTATATAGAAGAGATGATTTGAGAGATATTGTGTGTGAAAATGTGTTCCATGAGCTAATAAAGCTGACCTTTTCAATCGAGGTTAAACTATAGTAAACAAAGTCTTTACATTACCTTTATAACACTCTGCCTCTGGTATAACTCTAGCTACGGACAAAGCCATTTTTTGCATTTTAAGATGATGAGGCATGTACCATCCACGGAACAAGAAGCGTAGGCACCCTGGTAACCAAGTCCAAAAGCCATCATCCAAAGCTGAACCAAATACAGCAACATGGACCTTATGTTTTTTGTCTAATCCTAAGAACTTATCCTGATACGACTATTATCTTTTATGAACTATGTACGTGGAAATGTACACAAGTGTCCAAAAGCTAAACATTGGCAATTTAAGCCATTAAAGGGGCCCCTATGTTCCAGTTATTAACCCCACTGACCCGGTCGTTCCGATATTGCCAGATCTCTTCCTTATACTTCTTCTTACCAATTATACAAAAGATTTGTAGATACATGAACTTGCAGGAGTGTCCAAAAGCTCAAAATAGGCATTTTAGGTCATGTGGACTAGCTTTTTGGTATTTGTAGAACTTATCCAGACACAATATCTAACTAATTATACTTAAGATATGTGAAAATAGCAACTAACCAGAGTGACCGAAATATGGATATTTTGTCTCCTTTAAGGGGCCCCTTTGTCTCCGATATTGAACCTACGCACCTGGGGTGGATGTCTCGAAGGCCTCGTATCCCTTACGACGTTAGTTACACTGACGTAAGGTCATCGTTGCATTTTTTTCTGATTGTCTCGAAGAGTTCGTAATTAACGAAGTATCTTAAACAGCTCGTAAAGTTACGGTAAAAAAATGACCCCATAACAGCATCGTAAGTCTACGTTTACGAAAAATACAAAAAAATGTACATGCTTGAAAAAAGGTTATACATGTATTGACGGTTCATCCTACAAAGCAAAAAAAATGGCAAGATATTTGCTGTTGTTACAACGCATACACCATCAGAGACAGAGAGTCCCTCGTGTTTTCAGGGATAGACAGAACCCATTAGCTTACATGGACGATGACAATCTAGTGAAGAACTATCGTCTTGATAGACATTTAATTTTAGACCTTTGTGTTGAAATAGGTCAGGGGTAGGAAATACCAACCAGAAGAGCCAGTCGCTTCAGGTTTCTCTACAAATTCTGATAGCTTTGCGATATTACGCTACCAGAAGTTTCCAGTCTGTTATAGCGGACGCTCATGGTGTTAAGCTTAACTCTGTGTCAAGGAGCATTCATTATGTGTCTCGAGAGTTAAGTCTAAGATTGAGTCGTTATGACAATTTCCCAGATAGAAGAACGCAACAGTTAGATGATATCAAGGACGGTTTTCACAACATCGCCGGATTTCCGAATGTACTTGGTGCGGTGGATGGGACGTTTTTGCCTATTATAGCGCAAACAGAGGACGAACATTTACATGTATATGTAACCAGAAAAGGATTTCATGCTATCAACATGCAGGGAATATGTGATTCACAAAACATTTTTCTGAATGTTGTAGTATGTTGGCCGGGATCTTCGCACGACGCGTTTGTCTCGAACAATTCTGAAACTACAATGCTTCTCGAGGAAAATGATTACGGTGACAGCTGGTTGTTAGGAGACAGTGCATATCCTTTGAAAAGATATTTACTTACACCTGTTCTTAACTTCACAACACAAGGACAAATTCGATACAATATTGCACACAAGAGAACGCGCTGTATTATAGAGCGTACCTTCGGACTATGGAAGGTGCGATTTAGATGCTTGCATAAATCCGGGGGCTACGTGTGTTTTTTTCTCAAACTTTTTAGGCATTAAATTGAAAGAAAATATGTTGTATTTATTTAATGATAACTACTGATTTTTATCAGTGAAATAAAATCAATATCACTCATATGCCGTCACTCAAACGATGACTAAAATAGCTTTGTCGAACTTGACTTGGCGTGCGATTTTATTTTCATGATTCCGTTAACTTTAATTTATATGAAAAATAATTGTTATTTTTGTTTTTTTATGGCATTTTTCATATCAATTCAAATATCATGTTTTTTCTTAAATGGATAAAAAATATTTCACCGCGAAAGTGACAATTAACTTGAAATACTTGTGTTTGTGCAGCAGCGTTCAAACAGCCGTCATATTTAAGTGCATTTGTATAACGCGCAGTTAAAAATTGCTATTTTTTCACTTTCCATGCATTAAATAAAAAATGATTTGCTTTTCATGATTATGCTATATATAATTTTTCAATGTGAGAAAATAGTTAAAACTACTGACAGTATTTACACATAAAGATACCAAACATTACAGGTTCATGTAAAATGTGGATTCCTCTTCTCCAGTCTGTTCTTGATAATCGCCTCGAAGACGAGAAAGAAGGTCAGTTAAAGATACTAAAATGTCTTTCTCAATACATGAGCGCTCCCGTTCTATGTCGAGCCTGCTCTGTTCAATCTCAGGTCGTTGCCTCTTTATTATCAATTTCAATCTCAGGTCGTTGCCTCTTTATTATCAATTTCTCCCGCTCAAAATCTATAATGTCGCTATGAGCACCCTCTGTCAAGGCCTTACATGCAGTTCTCTTTCTATTGCTGGTGTTCATGGATGGAGTAAGTTCTATTAGTTTGAGTGGTTTTGGGGTTGAACTTTTAACAGAATCCCCAACAGGTACAAACTGAATGGAACTGTCACTGTCATCATCCAATTTAGCCAGATAGTTGTTACTTTGCGAGGTGTTGTTTGCACTATTCATCTCGTTGCTTTCAGGATAAACGACCGAGTCTCGTCCACCAACAATACCCTCGATAGCTGTAACACAAATTTTATCTAAAACAATTTCTTATAAAGGACTTAACGGGGATGTGTCTCTGCTCACGCCACCAGTCCTTTGTTGACTTTGCTTTACTTTAGCTCCCTTAGATTTAATAGCGGATGACCAATCACTCCACTTCTTTCTTCCTTCTGTGCAACTTCTTTCACAGGACGAAACTGAATTAATTTTTGCTGTTATTTGAACCCATTTTTTTCTTTTCATTTGTGATAATGTCAGAAAATTTGCTAAAAAAGAAGTGATTTGCTCTTACTCACCTCTCTTGCAAGAACCTCAAGTTCATTTGTAGAAAAGTTTGGTCTCCTTTTTCTTGATTCCGCCATTTTTTCTGATCTAATTTCAACCATGATGTGAAATACTACAAAAAATCTATGCATCAATATGAAAACCGTGCTATGTTTGAACTACACAAAGTCACCTTTGCATATACGATGTCGTAAATAACGTTTGAGAAACGAGATTGTTAAGGTGCTCTTCCAAAATAAGGAAAAAATAAGGACATTTTAGTTATATCGTAGCAATATCGTAAGTTTTGTCACAACTTTACGATACGATAATTTTTCGAGACAACCACCCCAGGTTGTTCTTTTTCCGATATTCCTAGGACTCATAACAACACTAGAGTGACTAGAAGCTCCAAATAAAATTTTGAGCCATTTTGACCACTTCAATGGCAGATTACTCAAATAATAAAGCAAGCCAGACCAAAATTACATGTTTCCAAGATTACCTATTGGTGGTTATTATAGCATAGGTTCCGTATCCCTAAGGCATATGGTGTTTGGATTGTGTGCCAAATTGCTATTTTTTACCATTTTTGTTATTTCTTAAGTCACTGTGACCCTGAATTTCACCCGAAATAACCCATTTTCTAGCTTGATCTATGTTACATTAAGATACAACTTCTGGTCAAAATCAAAGCAAAAATGAAACGCTAGAGGGGTAACGTCAACTTTGTTTACAGACGATGAACAACGGACGAACAGAGTCTGTTAACCACAGACTATACATTAAGCTATCATGAAAAGCTGAATAAGTGAATTATTAAAGCGTGTACCTATACAAGTACCTACTACGACTGCTACTACTGTGCAGTAACAAGCTGCTTTTGCTGCTGCTGCTGCTTTTACTGCCAATGCTTTTTCTCTGATGCTACAACTACCGCCGCCACTACTACTACTGCTAGTGCTGCTACTACTACTAATAATAATAATAATAACAATAATAATAATAATAATGATAATAATAACATACCAATACTGTAAAAACTTTCTCCATGACTTCGATAAATATGCTGCCTTCTGTAGTAAAATATGCCTGAATGTCACTATTTTGTGACAAGGTAAGACGATGTCGACAAAAATATAACGAAAAGCGGACTACACTTTAAGCATTGTGAAAACATTTTTTCATCAACAGAAATGTATAAGGTTAATGCATTAAATGTTTTTTCGACAAGGTGTAATGTATTAGGTATTGCGTCATAATTTTTATCGAGGAAGTGAAATCTTTCACATATTGCGTCTACATTTTTTTCGAAAAACAACTTTTATTGATTTCTCGACAAAAAAGTACTCGTCATGTGCAATGCTTCTTTTTTTGCAAGAAAACATTTGGCCAATTAACTCAATTTTTCTTGTTTATTCGAGATATTTTTTGAGAAAACACTAAAATATCATGCCTTCGCGCCTTATATTTTTTCGAATAGCGTAAATCTTCTCACAAAAGATCGCAAAAGAGGTGACCCTTTGAAGCTTCCGTAGGTATTCCTTTGAGGCGGTAAGTGTAAAAAAGATTGACACGTGACCGGTTGTTATTTGCCAGCTACTTAACACTATCATTTAAAACCGGATCGTTTAAGTACCATGACATAGTTAATTACTTAAACTTATGAAAATGATAAATCGTAATTTAAGTAATTTTTATTTATACCAATCTCATCAATGCTTATTGATTTTGTGAAGTGACAAATGGTGTACGTGACGTGCATTTACATGTGTTGCAATTAAGGAACCGGACAAAATGTGTGTTATTCCACCACCCATCTTAACTTCACAAGAGTTTGAAAAATTATTTAAATATATTATGTGATTTAAAAATATCAGTCAAGTCGGATAAATGATAAAATTAGCTAAACTGAAAACTAAAAATGCATTATATCACGTGTTCCGACTTTTTTTTCAGAATGATATTTAACCTCGATTTTAAATGTTAATAAAATTTATGTGAAAATGTTATATATATCATGTAATAATTTTTTTTTAAATATGGACGTTTTCAACAACAATTAAATTGACTTCTTTATTTGCTATATATATATTTTTACAACAATAATCTCAATGTCAGGTCAGTGATCGTAAGGGGGAATTCTTAAACAATCGTCTTTTTCATGCCTTTTTGGGCTATCTTGGCCACAAAGCTTTGAAGGCATCAGTTCTTTTGTGTTTCTGTTAAAAGCTATTTTATATGACTTTCTAATTTTTACCTTAAACAAACTCGGAATTGTCTATGAATTTCTAATTCATTTCTATGTAGGACATGGTTTTTTGCCCTACGGAAATTGCGCATGCGCCAAAAAATACGACTTCCGGGCATTTTTTTCATAGCAACGGACCGCGTCGTAAAAAGGTCTGTATGCTTCCTATGCCGAAATAAATCTATCTATCTTCATCTTGCTCAAATAGAGTCATTGTAACCTGTGGTGATGTACTCTTTTTAAGAGTGTAACAATGTACATAGTTATTATTCTGTTATCGCAATGCGCTTTTCTAATGGTTTGTATCGCAATGCGCAATTCTGATGATTGTATCGCAATGTGGGCTATTCTGTTGATTTGTATCTCAATGTGGGCTATTTTGATGGTTTGCATCGCAATATGCGCTATTCTATTGCTTTGCATCGCAATGCGGCATTCTGATGATTTGTATCGCAATGGTTTTATGCGCGCTATGATATCGCTATATCCTTATGGTTTGTATTCTGATAGTATTACGCAATGAGCTTTTCTGATTTTTTGTATCGCAATGTACTCTTCGAGTGATTTGTATCGCAATGCCCTATTCTGATGATTTGTATCGCAATGCGCTATTCTAGTGATTTGTATCGCAATGCGCTATTCTAGTGATTTGTATCGCAATGCGCTATTCTAGTGATTTGTATCGCAATGCACTATTCTAGTGATTTGTATCGTAATGCAGCATTCTGGGGGTTCGTATCCTATGTGCGCTATTCCGGTGGTTTGTATCGCTCTATTTGTATTTAACCAAAGTGCGTTCCTCCGTTGTTTTCAACTTTATGAGAAATTCCACTCAACTTCTACAACGTTTTTTTTAAGATTTGATTCAATTGCTTAGAACAACTTGCGAAGATATTATGAAAAATAAAAGTGAATTTACACACAGCATTCAGTATTGAAAAATAATACTCGTACATGTATTAGCAAAACACATCTGCCTATTGTTTTATAATGTGCCATCATGCAAATTGTCCAAAAGTACTGCTGTTTCGCAATACTTGAATTATACCCCAAAAATTGCTATAACTAATTCTTTACGTATATCGATTAATTTTTGTAAGATAAATTCATCTAAAAAAATTGTATCCCAAAGAGTGCCGCAAAAAAGGTTAGTAGTTCTCATAGGGTCATTCTCAAATTTTCAACCTTTTGGTAAGGGTCATTGCTTATGAGTAATCGTCGACGAGGTGTTCCATTTGTCATAAGGCAGGTCGATTCAATCGTAACGCCCTCGGCTATTATCTTACCCGAAGACTGACGAAAATGGCCGAAAAGTTACGAATGACGTCAATTATGCAAATGCAATCGTGTAACACAGCAACTAAAACGGACAAATACATTTTATTTAAATTACGTTAAAAGAAATGAATTTTCATGTACGAATAAACGACATTATACATGTATCTAAACGCTCATTTCAAACATTTAAAAGACAGTATTTGCTTTTTATTACCATTCACGGTTATATTACTGATAGTCCAAGAAATCTGTGCATAACATAGTGTGAATTGTGCACCTCTTGTGAAAAGCATAAAACTTGGCAAAGTTGTTGGTTGGTATAATCCTTTAGATTTAAGCCTGGAATCCATGTTGTGCGAATCCATTATGGCCGCCAAAATTCAAGATGACCGCAATATATTAAAATTTTCTGATATTTTAGTATTTCAGCTGTAATCATAACTAGACCAGTATGAAATAGCACCAATTCATTATATGGCACATTAATTTATATTCAAGCCTCGTATCTAGGTTGTGCAAATCCAAGATGGCCACCAAAATCCAAGATGACCGCCATATATTAAAATTTCAGAACATTTAGGTTTTTCAGTTGTAGTAATTACAGGTCAGTATGAAATAACACCACTTTATTTTATTATTCAAGCCTCGGATCTAGGATGTGCAAATCCAAGATGGCTGCCAAAATCCAAGATGGCCGCCATCTTAAAATTTTCAGATTTTTTTTTTCAACTTTTGTCGTCGTTACAAAACAGTATGAAATAGCACCGATTTATAATTATCGATTACATATGCATTTACATTCAA